TATCACAATATCCTAAGATTTTGGGTAACCTGAATCAACCCTATTAAAATAACACACCAGCCCCAACCAAGAAAGAAAAGAAAGCTGATCGACTGTAATGTTGGTATTACACAACCAAGCTAGCAACTGAGAGGAAAAAAAAAAAAAAGGAGAGAGAGCTTGGAGCCTTGTGGTGGGGGTAAAGTTGAGAAGTGATAGGTATATTGATAAATGTGTCAATGATAATCAAGAGTTGCTCCAACATGCAAGTAAGTCAGGGCAGTGCTATGGACTTATATATGAGAATGTGTCCACATCTCTCCTGACACAGATAAGGAAGAAAAAGAGAAAAAAAAAAAATAAAATAAACACATTCAGTTTATTTTTAAAATGATATATTTTTTATTTCTTTTAAAATGATGGAGTATGTACATGTCATTCATTTGACTGTCAAAATCATTTTGAACGTTCCCCACCCATCCCATATGCCCATTAACTGTAAAACAATCTTTTAGTAATTTTTGTTGAGCCATTAAAAAGAATTACTTACACGCAGAAAATATTAGCCATTTCAGATAAGTAATAAAAACATTTCAGAGCAATTCATTTTCAATAAAAACTTTAAAAAAAAATTTAAAAATTTGCATATACACAAAATTATCACTTACAATATTCAAGATTTTTTTCTCCCGATTTTTTTCCTCAAATCAAATTTTTTTTTAAAACATCAAAACCAAAAACGAAGACAATACAAACTCTTACATCTCCAAAGTAGGTTATATTTTCTTTTTACATCACTTACAAGAGTGAGAGAGAAGAAGAGACAACAGTGAAGGCATTTAATAATTTATACCAAAGTTTGCAGAGTGCAGCTTTTTTCAACTATAAAAAATAAAAATATTTTAAAAAAGAAATTTTTATAAGAAAATAATATTCAGAAAAACCAGTCATTTAATAAAAGAATGTTTTGCATTGTGTGTAAATCATGAGTTGAAACTTCAATCAAGCTTTTTATTAAAAAATAATGTGCGTGTGTTTTTCATACATTCAATTCACTGTATTTGAAAAGTAGCTAAAGTGTTTTTTAGGATGAATAGAAATCAACCAGATCTATGTTGATTTGGGAGGGCAAACATTAGGAATTTTGAGCTGTTGTCACAGAGCATTGAATGAAATACCTACTTGTTAATATGAAAAGACAAGTTCTTACCAATTCAATAAAAGAAACAGGTAGAACGAGTCATTAAGACAATGTGTAGTTATTTTTATTCTTTCTTTCTTAAATTACCATTTTCATCAAAATAGCAATCAGGAAATTTCTCAATAGGTGCAAATAACCAATACAAAGATAGGGGAGAAGGGTGTGTGCAAGGGAAGCAAGAAGAAGGTTACATTGTGAGGAAGGAAGTGAGGTAAAAAAATTTACATAATGATACACAATTAATTACAAAATATTTACATCACAGCCATGAAGGTTGGTGGCTATAAAGTTGAGATATGGATGGAGAGTGACTAAAAAAAAGATCTGAGAAAAATTAGGAAGAAATTTATACACAATTTATTTATAAATAAACCTCTTTGGGGGTGGTGGGCATATATGCAGAATAAAACCAGACTCATAAAGCACCCAGAGAAGACCAAACTCGCTAATAATGGCTTGCAATACTGATATGCTAGATGTTTGTGCTACAGTGAATGTTCTGGGTGTATGGCTATGTACATATAAGAAGTCACTTTAGGATGTTTCTCTCTCTCTCACACTGCACTATATAATTTTTAAATGGACATTTTAAACTTTTATTCAAATCTTAACACAAGTATGTTGCTTTTAAATTTAACTCTTAAAAATAAAACCAATAGATAAAATACAAAATAAAATGTTTCTTTCAATAACACAACATACTTTTGCTTAAAATGAAAGCTCTAGCATTACAGAGGAGTTCACAGATTTATATTTTAAAAATCTTCCTAATATTAAATTTATAATATAATCAAATGTTGAGATCTGTTTTAATCTTTCTACTACAAAACTTTTAGTGTATTATTTCTCTGAAGAAATGAATAATTAAAATAATTAAAAAATAAATAAATCAAGGAAACTGTTAATTTTACAAAAATAAAATGCCTTAAAGCAGACAAAATATTTTTTGTTTAAAAGATTTTTTAAAAGAAAAAGGAGAAAGCATCCTAATTTTGAACAGACTGAGGATGGAAATAGCAAGTGTACAAGAGACTGTTATTGTGTGGTAGAGTTTGTAGAAATGGCAATTCAAGCACTTCATTTAAACATTTCATTGCACATTAAAACATACATTCACAGACTTAAAATATTTTCTTCACAAACATAGAAGAAAAAAAGAAGCCTAACAAAAACTTGCTCACAGACTAGCATTGTCAGCAGAAAAAAATGAATTAAATCATTAATATGAAGAGGTATCTTAAACTTTATGATATTGAAAATGTAAAATCTTTTTTTTTTTTTAAATGAGTGCAGACTTTAAAAGAAAGATACTAGAAATCACCTTCCCTAAAAATTAATTGTGATTTATTTGCCATAGGAACTGAATAAACTCATGCTGTAGATATAAAAAAGCTAAAAAAATATTTTTACATTGCATAGAATGTGACTTCTACAGTGAAAAAAAAAAAAAATAAATAAAAAAAAAATATGACATGGTTGTTAATTGGCAAAATATCATTAGCTTTTTTAATGTTTATCAGAAGATAAAGCACACTGGTTCAGCAGATGTCAGAAAATCCGGAATTTTAAATGATGGTCTTTTCCTGAACACTAACTTCTAGCAATTTGAGTGCATATTTTTAGTCACAAAGCATTTAAGTTTTGACCAATTCTAACAATCTTTTTCTTTAATATGTTGCATAGAACAAATATACCTTATTTAATAAGTCATCATTTCCTTAATATTTAGGAAATAAGATATTTAATTTAAGAAGGCAAAGTTACTTACGAATAATTTTTTATAAAGAATATGATTCATTATTTTTATAAGTTGATCCCTTGAGTTTTCGTTGATAGAGTAAATTTTTTCTATTTTCTAACATTACATGGTCCATTTCAGTTTTTTAATGCTTAGTTTTAAAAACTTAAATATTTTTGAAAACTTAAATATGCTCAAAATACAAGACCTAATAAATAATACTTCAAAACATGCAGAAAAGATTAACTTGAAATCAATAAATAAAAACAATAACTTAAGAGCCTATATTCGCCAATGTATATTAAAAAAAAAAAAAAATCCTACCTCACTTATGTCACAACATTTACCTGTGAAACTGAGCAATTATCTCTACCTACCTTGATGATCACTTTAAAAAGGTCAAAAGCTTGGACCATATTTCTTGTAAGTTCATTTCAGAAGAAAACTTCTGAAATGAACTTCAGACAATTTCTGATGGAATTTCCTCCTTTTCTGAGAAGGATTATTCATAATTTGGAAAAGTCAATCATTAAAATGAATTTACACAAAATGTCTGTAGTTATTAAAAGTATTCACCTTAAAAAGTACCCCTCTTTATTATATAACATTCTTATTCTATCCTATATATAAAACTAAAACTCTTCTATAAGCCAATATTTTGTTTTAACTATTATAGATTAACTATTTTTATGAACATCCTTAGATATGTCTAGTCATACATTTCAAACATAAAAGTTTTATTTGTCAAGAAAGAAAAATGGACCAAATTCATGTATGTCAGGTTGTGTTGTGGGAGGGGGGAAGAATCATATTTAATCTCTAGTAATAATATTCAAAGTACCGATTAAAAAGATGAAATAATAAAAATAAAAAGACAAACCGCACATCAAAAAAACTAGAATAAATATGGAAACAGTAATTAATCGTTTATATAGTGGACATATTTCCAGCACTGCTGTAGTTGTCAACAGATAATGTTTAAAAGAATAGCATTTATACTGTAAGCCTAAAAGTTTACATATTTTGGGGGTAATATAATATTTATATAAAAACAAAAAATAAAAGTGATGATGAGTGTGAATGTATGTGCATTTTTTTGTTAGTGTTCCTTTAAATCAAAGATTAGTCTTTGATTTAAAGGAACACTAACAAAAAAATGCACAGGAGAGAGAAAAAAAAAAAAATAGATACAAACCATCTCCCTTGCAGCCCAAATTAAAAACTCACTGATGAGACAAAACTTAATTCTAGTTAAAATAATTTTCTAAACATTCAAAAGTGTATATCATTTTTGCCTTGTTTCAGTCACCATATTTTCTAGATTTCAGCAATATGAATTTTTATACCTTCTCATTTAACTAGAGATCATGTTTATACAATATAGGTAATCAATCCAAAAATGTATGAAACCAATTATCCAAATAAATTCTGGAAGACTATTTTGACATTATAATTTAAGATAAAATAGAAAGATTTTTAGCCTGATCGATGAAAAAAAAAAAAAAAAAAAAAAAAAATTCTCAGATAAAACTTTATTATCCACTAATATTTCTTTAATATTTAACTAGCGATTATTTGTTTAAAATGTGCTATTTATTACCATCTTCCTTAAAATTTATGTTTTCACTCTAAAACCTAATGATAAAAGAAGTAGCTTTTAATTTTAAATTATTTACCTACATCGTATCCCAATCTCTTCTAGTCCTTGACAAAGGTAAATGAAGACTATGTTTAAAATAAAGACCCCTGCATAGTCAAAAAAAATAATAAATAAATAAATAAAATGGCAAAAATAAAAGCTAACAGATGCATAGCACCATGTATATAGATAGATAGATTTAAGAAGATTCTTTAATCAAATTCTCAAATTGTTTTTGACGAATAAGAAATATTTGTTCCTATTTGTCTTTTTAAAATTTAGTCAATAATTTGATTTTCTGCTAAAATGGCTCTGAAGGAAAGATAACCATAAGTTCTGGCTATCAGGGGAATTTAAAAACAAAAAAGAAATGTGTTTTAAGTATACACTGGGCAAATTATTCATCCCGAACTCATCCCAAAGTAGAATGAGAGATTTGGTGGTCAATAAAAACGAAATGGAACAACAAGATCTTCTTTATGTTCTACTTGGATCTGATTATATGCTTCATAAGCTTTTTCTGCAGCACTTTGTATCTGAAAAAGCAAAAAGAAAAAAAGAAGAGCAAAACAAAATGTGAACGATAAGAAAATATGCAAAATTAGGAGACATTATTTCTGTAGATAATTGCAAACTTCACACTCCAAATTGGGTTTGGACAATTCCTTTGTCCTCTCATCACCAGCAAAATATTGTGGTAACAACAAGAATGCACAGATGGAGATCAATAACTCAAACAAAATTTACAATTATAATGAAATTTTTCAAAATTATTGAATATATATATATATATATATATATATATATATATATATATATATATATATGAAGAAATATAGTCTTAAGATGTGCTATATTTATGGGATGAAGTGCTCAGTATCAGAGATAGAGTGTGCGTAAATATAAAAGTGAACATAGAAGTCAACACTTAGAGGCGACAGTCTGTTTCATGCTATATGCAATCGTCAGGCCTGACAATTGCATATAGCATGAAACAGACTGTCGCCTCTAAATGTTGACTTCTATGTTCACTTATATATATATATATATATATATATATATATCAAAGTGTAGGAGAACGGACAGTAAGATTACAGCGTTGAAAACATTAATTTAAAAACAGTGTTCAATACACAAAGTAGAGCCGTAAATATTTATTTATATGTTACATTAAAACATGCACATATCCACTACAAAATTGTATATTTTTGTTTCAACGTCAAAAAATGGAAAACCTTTTTTAGATGTCTCATCAGGTGGGGAATCACGGTGTGACTAAAAATTTTTACTCAGAAATACACTTATCGAAGTAAATATCCCCCACTTTCCGTTCTTTGGAAAATTTCTAGAAATTACATGAAGAGATGGAAGGGAATCTAATGCATTAAGTTGTCGTGGGTGGATGAAAAGGAAGGGAAAAAGATAAAAGTGGGAAGAGAAAAGAAAGAAAGAAGCCATGGGAAGAGGATGAGGTGATAAACGCTAAGAGAAGATAAAATCTGGCCATAGAATTTCGTTAGAATGTAGAATTTGAACATCAACTGTCTTCTGGGTTGGTTAGGTAGGGGTTTCAATTAAAAATAATTTGCAGCTAGAGACAGTTAAAGTAAAGGTTAAAATATTAGGTATCTTTTTTTTATCCTTCATATTATTTTGGGATAAAACATTGTCAAGGAGAAAAATAAATTAAAGTAATATAATTTTTTATTTTTAGGGAGAAATAGGTGTAAATTCCATATAGAAATAAACTGCAAAATAAGATTAAATTAGTACTAACTTTACATTTCTATTAACGTAGGTTGGGAAAGTGGATCAATACTATTGTATATAGGATGGTAGTTATTAATAGATAAAAATAATAATAATAAGCATGAAAACTGTGAGCTTGGATTGAACCCCAACCATTGTGGTGCTAGTTAAAAATCGCTACCACTTGTGCTATCTAGATAGAATTACCATCACCTACTAATGCTATGTCTATTGTTTTTATGTATGTAAATGGACCTTTTAATTTTTCAATTATTAAAATTTTTTTCATAATTTCTATGTTACTTGTATTACTGTTTATAAGGTGTTATTATTCAAAGGGTTAAAGTAGTCCCATTTCAACCAACTAATGGATAAATCATAGAGGTAGGTTCAATGAAACTAAAAGGATAAAACCTAAAGGTAGGTTCAATGAAACTAAAAGGATAAAACCTAAAGGTAGGTTCAATGAAACTAAAAGGATAAAACCTAAAGGTAGGTTCAATGAAACTAAGTTTTTTATTACATTTACAGAAGTAGGAATCATTAGTTAGGTCTACATTTAATATTCAAAGTGAATTTGACTAAGATGAATCCTGTATTAGTAGAACTATGGTATAATAGGTGATAGCATTGGTATCATGCTTACAGTCATAAGAGGATTCATTCATAGGTTCAAAATTTCTTTAATATGTTAATTCTTTTTTATATTTGCAATTTGTTGCTGTTTCATACCTTCGATTTAATACTTTTTCTTTATCAGGGTATTTAATTATTTGTATTTTCTCCTGGAGACAGAGAAAACACGGTTCATTAAATGACTTCAAAATTCTAGCCTGTTTTAGTATTTTCGATTTAAGTTTGGGGGTTTTACTTTTGTCCTTTAATTCCCAAAAATACTTGGAAAGTGAGGTCATGTTTTGTATATATGGGTTGTTGAAGGATGCTTTTATAACCATATCTCATCATTTTCTATTAAACTTTCTCGGACATTCAGGCCAGTAAATGTTGTTAATACTGTTTATTATAAACAGAGCATTTACTTAAATATTTGTATCTATAAAAAAAATGTATAAACATAAAAAAATATCTTGAAATAATTGTCAGACTTTGTCTATTTCATAATGTGTGACGTCACTTGTTTACATTTGGATACACATCAAGCAGATATGAATGTACGAGTGAAAATCATGGAGAATTGGAGTTTAAAAACAGTACAATCAACCTTGCTAACCAAAATGCTCCTCTGTGGCTAAATCGATAAAGAACGTCAGGCTATATGATGGTTCTGTATAGGATACAGGTTTGATTCCTGTCAGACGACGCATATTTTCTATGAAAATTTCTCGGACATTCAATCAGGTAAATGTCATTAATACTGTTTGTTATAAACAGAGCATTTACTTAAATATTTGCATCCATAAAAAGAATGTATAAACATAAAAAATGTCTTAAAACACACACACACACACATATATATATATATATATATATATATATATACATACACGCACACAAAGAAACAAAAATGTGACGAGAATGAAAAGAATATAAATTCAAACATTCAATAGCATTCATTTAAAAGAAGGCTTAATACTAAGAGCAAAGCAATTTATTATAAAGATGTTAGATACAAACAAGTACTCATGACAAAGATGGATTTTTGTTTCATTGTGCAATCATCCCAACATCTCAATTCTATTTAAAAATGCTACTTACAAAACATCACTTAGAATCGTTTACAATCATCTTTGTCCCTCACCTGTCGAGATGCATTTGCCACGAAACAAAAATGCATCTTTGTAGTGAGTAATTGTTTGTATATATATATATATATATATATATATATATATATATATATATATATATATATATATATACATATATACACAGACAATAATATCAAAATCTGCTACTCAGAGTTTCATGCAGTAACACAATCATCAGGCAGATAAAAATATGAAACTTTATATTTTACCTGCCTGATGATTGTGCTACTGCATGAAAGTTTGAGTATCAGATTTTGATATTATTGCATTAATATTTGTTGTGTGTGTGTTTTTAAGAATCATTTTGATTACATCAGATAAGTATTAAAAGAATAAATAAATAAATAAATAAATAAAAACAGTTCATAATATGAGGGTTGCAGTTTATGTTGTCTACATATGCAGGTGTTTATTTTGTTCTATAGCTGTAACTTTATTTAAAGTTAACTTAATTTAATCTTTCTGTAATTATTCTTTTGCCTGGAAGTCAACTTAAATGATCATCAATTCTGTTAATTTGAATCAATGAAATTTCAAGAACTTTGCCTGTTATCAAAACAATACATAATGATGATTCAACATTATCAATATTGGTCTTTGATAATGTTGACATTAGAAATGTCTCCTCTGCCTTTAAAAATATATTTATTAAAAGAAGATATTTAATAAGATTTTTTTATCAAAATGTCATCACCATTTTTCTTCCTACACTTATTTTTCTGACTCCAAAAGTAAAATAAAAAATGATTGTAATAACTTTGATTTCTGTTTAATATTTATATTTAGTAATTTGATTGGTAAGATAAAACATTTGTATAAACATAATCGAAGAAATTATTTCCTTAACAAACAATTGAAAAGTGAAGTGAGTTTATGATTAAGAGTCCATTTAAGTAATAGAATACAATTGTTTACTTTAATTATTTCTATGAATTTCTGCTCATTATTCTTTATTAAAATTATGATTAAGGGAAACAAATAAAACAACTCACCAAATGCAAGTCTGCCGGAGGCAGCGGTTGTGAAGATAAAATAATCTGTGGATTATTTGTGCTGTATGGTAATTGCGTTTTGTACGTCCGAGTCCGACCAGATCCATTCAGGGCACTATTTAATTTGTCACTGAAAGTAAAACCAAATTCAAACAGAGTAAAAACTAAATAAAGAACATTCATGTACAAATTACTTGTTTAAATGATCATGTTTAATATGATAACACTAAAGTGTGTGTGTGTGTGTGTGTGTATATATGTTATTATTAGTTTAGATATTAGAACAAAAAAAAGGTTGAAATTGCTACAGAATAATTTGGTGTTCAGGTACTATGTTGTGTGTGTGTGTGTATATATATATATATATATATATATATATATATATATATATATATATATATATATATATATATATATTATATATACACACACTTAATAGATGATATGACATCAAGCATTATTTTATTACCAGAAGCACTCAATATATATATATATATATATATATAAAATTCTGATATATTTAATTTATTGCTTGAACATTATTTTTAAAGTAAACCCATATTTGAGTATTTTTTGTTTTGTTTTAATATTTATTTATTAAAACAATATATTTATTTATTTACATCTACTGGCCTGAATATTTGAGAATTCTTGTCAGAAAAATATGCGCCGTTAAACAGGCTTCAAATTTGTGTCCCCTAGGGGAAACCATCAATAGATCTGACATGCCCTGACCTTTCAGCTACAAAGAACCTCCTGGTCAAACAAAACCTGAATAGTGCTTTTGGACACAGACATTTCCTGATTTTCGAAATGTAATAAGTAAAAAAAACATACTCAAATATAGGTACCCATTAAAAATAATGTTTAAGCAATAAAGTACATATAAAAACAAACAAATGACATCATATATCATGAAATGGACTAAGTCTGACCATTATTTTAATATATTTTCTGTTTATATACTATTTTTAAGTAAATGCTCTGTTTATAATAAATGGTATTAATAACATTTACCAGCCTTATTACAAACAGAGCATTTACTTTCAATATTTGTATCTATAAAAATAATATATTAAAATAATTGTTGGACTTAGTCCATTTCATAATATATGATGTCATTTGTTTGTGTTAAGATACGCTTCCAGCAGATATGATTATTCGAGAAAAAACATGGGAAATTTATTATCTAAAAGCAGTAATTTGATTTTGCTACCTGGGCACTTCCTCTGTAGCTAAATGGTATAGCACATCAAGCTATATGATGTCTCCGTTCAGGATACAGGTTTGATTCCTGTTGGAGGGCACATATTTTCTATGAAAATTTCTCAGACATTCAGGCTGGTAAATGTAGTTAATACTGTTTATTATAAATAGAGCATTTACTTAAATATTTGTTTCTACGAAAAAAAAAAAAAAAATTACAAATATAAACAAAATATATTAAAATAATTGTTAGACTCAGTCCATTTCACAATATATGTCATTTGTTTATGCTAAGACACACCTAAAGAAAAACCATGGGAGATATATATATATATATATATATATGTAAAACCTGTCTACTAGGGCGGCTAGCCAATCCCTATTACAGATGCTTGCTCAGGCACATTTGTGTTTGCTCAACACCTGCCTGTGGTTTATACTGCAACTATGCTGAGCAGACCATAGTTACAATTTCTGGGAGAGAGCATGTTATCTATCATGATCAACAATTTGGACAAGGCCAGCATGACTTGTGGCTTTGTGCTAGCACAGCTATTGATGACCCTCAAGAGTTCCATCTATCCAATTTCACTCACAAGGCTTGGATCAATCCATGGCATTTTTTTAGGCACTTTCCAAAGGTGCTGCACACTGGGATTGATCTTGATCCATTCCGATAACATCAGAAAGTCTCCTTCCTGATAAATCGACCATGGTGAAATTCAAACCCAGCTTTGATTTTATATATATATATATATATATATATATATATATATATATACACACACAAGTACAGTGTTGGTATAGATGGAATAAAATTCTGATAACCAAAAACACTATTCTTAAAAGAGTATTCAGTACAGAGTAAAACAAATAATATTTATTCAAAATTATAACATATGCATGTTATAACACCACTACAAAAATAGCCATTTTATTTCAACACTTCTAGTCTCTTATCAAGTGATGATGTTGATTGCAATCAACCCCAGCAATTTAAAATCTTGTATGGACTAGTAAATATATAGTGACTGTCATCGGCAGTGTATTTATTTTTCACAAAATGATATTTGCTGTTTCAATAAAATATAGTTTGTTAGATGTTATCAGGAGTGAACTTTGTCATTCTATGAAATTCTAATTGAAATTTATACCAATATAATTTGAGAGACATAATTCATACCTATATAATTTAGCTTTGTCATGATATTCATTATGTTCCATACTTTGTGGTTCCATGGCAGCTACATCAATAATATTCCTAAAAAAGAGAAAAAGAATACCATTAAAAAAAATTTTTTTTTAAAAAGTGGGAAAGAGGTGCTTCTGACTAAATGGTAGTTCTTTTCAATGTTTTTTTTTTTAATATAAAGACAAAACTTTAGTAAACAAAATATTGTTCCATTTACCTTGCAGTGGTTTGAAGAATTCTCCCTAATTTCGATTGTTCATCAACTTTATCTGAATGTTCACCAGATTCTGTTATAAAGCTTAAAAATAAACAAAAAAAAGTAAATTATACAATTGGAAATAAAAAAAATTCAATCTGCCTAACTTTAAGACAGTTAAAAATTATACATTTGTTTTTACAGCAATGGACACTTTAAATACACTTTTCTTGATTGTGGAAGGAAAATATTTATACAAGAATGTATAGACAATATTTGATTATTTTTAGGAAAATCAATAGAATTTGACTGCTTGATACACCCACATTATGAAAATAAACTAATTTTTGAAATTTATTAAAAAATTTATGTTTATTGTTTAAATGATTTCCTTGTGAAAAAATAGAAGACTAACAATATTTTCCTTTAAGAAATCAGTGAAATCTCATTTGGCCATTATTTTAATTTGTATGTTTTTTTTAAAAAGGTAATTTCCTGGAGAATTTAATTGTGAAAAAAGAAAAGAAAAAAAAAAAAAACAATGAAAGAAAAAAAAAAAAACAATGAAAGAAAAAAAAAAAATGAATGAAAGAAAAAAAAAAAAATGATGAAAGAAAAAAAAAAAAAATGAAAGAAAAAAAAAAAAATGAAAGAAAAAAAACAAAACAATGAAAGAAAAAAAAAAAACAATGAAAGAAAAAAAACAATGAAAGAAAAAAAACAATGAAAGAAAAAAAACAATGAAAGAAAAAAAACAATGAAAGAAAAAAAACAATGAAAGAAAAAAACAATGAAAGAAAAAAACAATGAAAGAAAAAAACAATGAAAGAAAAAAACAATGAAAGAAAAAAACAATGAAAGAAAAAAACAATGAAAGAAAACCTTACAAGGGAATGATTCTTTTTTATTCATTTGAGAAAAATAAGTATAATTATTCTAAAAGTCGCTAAATATTATTATTAAAAATATGTTTGTGTTTTTCTTTCCTAATTTATTCACCTGATCTTGCAGTATTTTTTTTTTTTTACAAAATCAATAATTTCATAAGCTTAAACATTATCTTTGTTTGTCATATGGCTTCACATTCCCTTTAATACTTTTATGAAGTTAACTCCCTTTGAAAATAATGGATACTTGCCAGTCTTATGAATACCAAGTTATCAGTTTCCTCATTTACTCCTCCTACTCCTTCCTCCAGACATATATTAAGAAACTAGGTAGGTAATAAAGCTGAAGTAGTTAACAGATAAAATGTTTTTACAGTCTGCAGAAACAAAGGACCTATTTTAAGTTCAATTGGTGACTTTAAAGGTTTGACTGACAATTATTGGTTACTGCAATGTAAAAATATGCAATTGTCAGGCCATGATGATTGTGTTTAAGTATGAAATAGACTGTTGCTGCTGGGTGTTAATTTCAATGTCCACTTTTATATTTACATACGTTCTATCTATTATATTGAGCACTTTAACCCATAAATATAGCAAACCTTGAATACAGCTACTTCAACAAATGACAATTTCAGGTTTTGCAAGTTTCTTTTAAAAACAGATATACCATTTGTTGAATGACATTTTTGCACACAGGAATTAATGACAATACTTTATTAAAAGAAGATATGATTTTAAATTAAAAAAATGTGTCAGTTACCAAAAGACAAATCCTAGGGAGAAACAAAAAGAAGAAAACAGAAATTAAAGACATTGAGAGTAAAACATGTTTTCCACTCCTTTGGAAAATAGCAGGAAAATAATAATAAAAAACAATTTTACAATTTCAGACTATCTATTCTTAAATACAATTATTCCAATTTAATGTTTGTACCTCAGATAATAGATTTTGATTGCGATGAATAAATTTTAAGCTTATTTAAAATAAGCTCAAAAATGAAAGGAAAAATATATTTTGTTTCAATTTTTTCTTTATTTTAAATATACAAATGTATAAATAATAAAGTCACAAGAAGTGACTTTCAGTTCTATCTCAAAAAAAAAAAAAAAAAAAAAAAAAAAAAAAAAATTGTAAAACATTTGTTAATTAAGAATTAAAATAATCAGTTTTACTTTATTTTTTAACTATACTTATCAAGTTCATTTTTCCCTTTAATATGCTAGTACTAAATAATAAATATCAGTACTAAAGTCCACACCTACTGATACTAGAACTGACTTTTAGATGACTCACATTTTAAACAATGTTGAACTTTGTAATAAATCAGCTTTTAGTAGAAGTTATTAAATGCTTAATAGTAGGTTGTTTTTTGTTTTTTTTTACTTTCCAAAATGTAATTATTCAGACTTTGTAGTTGAATGTTACTCAGTGTGAAATCTTAATCTTTTATTCATCAAAAACATCAGCCAAGGAGAAAAAAAATTAAGCCATTAATTTAAACATTCACTTGAAGGCTAAATAAAGAGAGCAAGAAGTAATTTTTGTAAAGAGAAAAGACCATGATATACACAACCACAGAAAATAAACTTAAATTTTTTGATCACAATAAAGGTAGTATAGTTTTCTACTGATAGAGCTTTCTAAGATCAATTGTTAAAAATGGCCTTGAGCAAGTGAAACTTATGGATCTTGGTAAAGACCATCCTTCTTTGAATGTTGGTTATTGGTGCTGCAGAACAATACAACTGAAACCACATCACCTGAGGACTTTCAGTATCAACTAAAATGGATATCACATGTAACTTATATAAAATAATGACTTAATCACTACTCCAAATGTAGGGAAAAAAAACCCATCACTACTGGAAAGAGCAATAACAGTTACTAGACTTGAGAAAACTATTTTCCTGAAAAATTGATTTTATAAGTTTCAATAAACAGTAGTACAAGCTGCTCAGTCTATGAATGCCAAATGTTTCCTTATAGGGAAATGGCCAATATTACCATTACCATCCTGAAATAATAAATATATATTTCTGAAACTAAAAATGGTTAATGTGTAGATGATATAAAGTTTTAAGATTGATGTAGATATCTTAAATATAGATTAATTGGATTTACATCTTCCAGAAATTAAGCAAAACATTTCCAGTGAAAAAAATTCTATTATAATATACACAAATTTAAATACAAATGCAAAATAATAATTAATATATAAACAGGCATGAAAGAAGGAAAGTAATAAACACACGGTCATGAATTGTTTAAATTTGATAATTAAAATATCCTTTAAAACAGACATAGAGATCTTAAAAAAAAAAAATAAATAAAAAAATGGTACCAAATTTAACATGGTAGCTCAATTAGCAATAAAGTTATGACCATTCATGTTCATAAAAATTTAAACAATTTTCATTGCCTTTGCTATTGGACAAAAAGTCAATTTTAAGAAAATAACTAAAGATGCAGTCATCAAACATACTAAAAATCATTAGAAATGTAATGTCATATAGGTAATCTTAAAGTAGGAGAAAAATAAGGCTAATGGAATCAATGATTATTAGATCAGACCAGTTTAAACATTAGGGAAAATTTAACTCTTAAAAACAAAATCATAAAAATACAACAGAACAGGGCCAGTCTAGACTGATCATATAGGTTCCATTTCAAGTTAATGCCATGCAACTTCTTTCTATAATTCATAGCACATTAAAGATGAAAACTTAATTTTTTTTTCAGTAGTACCTCAATAGAAAACCTATATTCATAGCACATAAAAACAACCAGAAGTGCAATTTGACAGCAGGGCAAAAACATACAATACTGAACTTGCCCTAAAAAAGCATGCCTGAAACTTTGAGACTTTACTAATTTTGGGATGAGGAATTCAACAAAACTTTTCGCTGTAATATCAATACTTTTTGTAATATAGGTTTCTTATTTTGGAAAATTATGTCATTTTTAACTTGTCACAAACAGGATAGTAATGACAACAAAGGGTTATGGTTAAGGTTAGGTCAGCTGAGGTAGTGGTTCTTCATCACAACTACTTGAGTTGTTTAAATTACTGAATGCCTCTTCTTTCCTTTGAGGTGGAACAGATTTTCCTGTCATCAAGTAGTTACAAAGAACAGTTTCCAGCTCCAAATTTATTTCCACTGATGTTGATTGTGATACCTTATGAGAACCTTCAGATATCTAAGTTGATTTTTGATTGCCTCCAAACAACTGCTTATTGGACATTTTTAATAGACTTTACAGGATCACCATCTTTGATAAATGAGTTAATGATTCTATTTCTCAGTAGCAGCTCGATATTACTTTTTTTCTTTTGCTTGTCATTTTTAGCAATCCTTTCTTGTACATGAATTTTCACAAATACCTCTTAATCCTTGTGTCTTTAATGCAAATGTTTTGCATGCTTTCTTGAAATGCCAAGAATTGGTTGCCACTCAATTGTACTTTAGCATGTTTGAGATTGATCAATGTTGAAGTGATGCATGTCATCTTTTTTTTTTTTGTCAGTTCCACTCCAACTTTCAAATATCATTAACGCATTTAAATTTTGAGGGTGTATGAGAAATTTTTTTACAATTACAAAAAAGAAATCCCTCAAGATGCTCCTTGCATAAAAAAAAACAATCAACTGTGAACATAGTGAAAGTTTTTCATGAACCTTACAAAAAAAAAACACAAAAACAAATGAAACATTTTGGTTGAGAATTAGTACTTGTATAATTTAAAATACTTTCTCACATTAGATTCAAACAAATTTACATTGAATAACTGTTTTTAAAAATGTACTTTTACTTTTACATTGCAATTCTGAAATTTCTCCAATAAGGAATTTTTCTATTAAATGAAAAGATGTTTTGAGACTTGAAAAATGTAAAGTTTAATACCCTTTTCAAGTGTTAACATTATTTTCACTATGCTGTTGATTGATTTGTTTGTTTACAACTTATAAAACTTTTTTCAGTGTTTTAAGCAAATTTTTTTTTTTTTTTTTAACAAAATCCAGTCAGTTATTCCTTAATTTTACTAATTTACTTTGAAACAAAAGACAAAATACTTTAAAAGATTTTTAAATTTGTTCTTTTCATTTGTTGTCAAGAATGGAGATTCAGTGTGTGACCATAGTGATGTTTTAAAACTGCCTTAAAAAATTAAAATCTTATTTAAATATGTTTTCTATTATTATTTTATTTATA